ATACAGTCATTGTTCAATGAATATTCGTCAAGGGAGAGAAGGAATCCATGAATATTCATTTTGCAAACAGTATACGTAACAATTTTCTGTGATGGATGAGGGTTGTTATACTTGGTTCTGCTCTTACCGTACATATCTTAGACATCACATTTCAGTGCATGTTTAGCTACAAAAGCAGTGGATTAGAGATTGCATGGTAATAAGGGCTATTGTCTCGATGCTCAGACATGTTAAGAGCCACCAGCAACTGTAACTCAGTCAAACATGAAAATCTCTGAACTGGGAGGTGATCTTTGGGAGCACTGATAGAGGAGCAGTGAGACTGGGAAGGAAAGGAAAAAAAGGTGTGTGATAATGCGCAGGTTGCCCCTGAGTAAACTTGACTCAGCTACGCTGAGGGTCTCTAAGTGAATACAGCGAGGCTCAGGTGTATCCCGCCTGAGAGGTGAGGAAGCTGAAGTACTTATCTACCCGTTTACGTTAGTCTCAGATGAGGCTGTTCCTGAAGGCATTAACTCTGTAGCACTCTCATCTGTCCAGCGTGTGAGACAAATATGCTTCATGTACCTAAAGAACATGTTAAGGTAGAATCACGGGGGATGTCAGGGGATTGCAATGGATTGTTCACTTCCTCTGCTATTGCTGTTGTTGTTATTCAGTCGCTCAGTCCTGTCTGACTCTCTGCGACCCCATGGACTGCAGCACACAGGCTTCCCTGTCCTTCATCACCTCCTGGAGTTTGCTCAAACTCAAGTCCTTTGGATCCATGAGGCCATTCAGTCATCTCATCCTCTGTTGCCCCCTTCATCTCCTGCCCTCAGTCTTTCCTCTGCTATGGTCTACCATAGCCCACTGCATGCATTACCCAGATTCACTCATGTTGCAGGTCAAGCTCATTCTGACTTCTCACTGATTTTTTTTTTTAGATCACTTGTTATAGTTCCAAAAGAGAGACCAAGAAAGAGAGAACTTAAAACAAGAGGCCTGTAGTCTCCTGCTGTGGTTAATCTTGAAGCCATAACTGATATTCATCATTTCCCTCCTTTATTACTTCCATGCCCTAGACCAAGCTGATTCTCTTCTGGGTTCATCATGTGGTGCAGTAACTCAGTCTTCGAGCCCTTAGAGGATGAGTCCCTGGTTGCTTGTCCTCATCAAGATGTTGTAGCTGCAATTGCCCTCTCGTTTCTCACCAGGGACACATCAAGACGCACGCCAGTGAGTCCCATGATTTCCAGACATACTCCTTCCTGCTCCATTATTTAGCAACAACTCTATGGCCTCGTCATGATCAGGATGAATTACCCTTGTCCACACAGAATCTGCCTTCTCTGACAGCTGGCCCCGGGGCATAGGAGCCAAGAATGATCAGGCCGCAGCTGAAGTTGTAGATTTACTGTGTCCCCTGGTAGAAGTATCGAGAGCTCTAACCCAGCAGAACCTGAAGTTATAAAAAAGGGAAGGACACTTTTCTTTTTCTTTTTCAATTTACTATTTTATTGGAGCATAGTTGATTTCCAATGTTGTGTTAATTTCTGTTATACAGCACTGTGATTCAGTTATAAATATATATATATATAATTTTTCATATTCTTTTCCATTATGGCTAATCACAGGATATTGAATATAGTTCCCTGGGCTACACAGTAGGACAGGAAGCCCACTTTCTTAAGTGGATTATTTAAAGGGATAGTGGAAGGCTTTGTGCTCCCTTTGATGCTAGCTATCTAGGACTCAGCACTACGTATACAGTATCACTTAGTAGTACAACCACACTTTGAACCATGCAGGGTATCATTCCTAGCAAACCACAAGAGCAGATTTACAGTCTCAAGTCTGGTCTATGGGGAACAGACACCACTGCCCCTCTCACTGAAGTTGGCATCCCTTAGGGGATATGACTTGTTGGTTTTTTGGGACTTCCCTGGTGGCTCAGTGGTAAAGAACCCACCTGCAATGCAGGAGATGTGGGTTTGATCCCTGGGTGGGGGAGATTCCCTGGAGAAGGAAATGGAAACCCACTCCAGTCTTCTTGCTGGGAAATCCTATGGACAAAGGAGCCTGGTGGGCTACAGTCCATGGGGTCACAAAAGAATTGGGCATGACTTTAGTGACTAAACAACCTTATTGTTCTAGTGAAGCGAATGTCGTCTTGGCTCTCCCAGGGAACATAATCAGCTGGAAGTTTCTTTGACATTACAAAATAAACACATTATAACATGCCCACCTCTCTGAGACCTTGGAACTCTTCTCCAATGCTTTGCCAAGGTGGTTCTGGCATAACCACATCATTTATTTTAGGCCAACCTCATTTCCAAGCTTTTAAGGGCTATTCCAGTAGCACGTCGGGACCAGCTCCAGGTGTACTTGCCAGAATGTTAAAAATTAACTCACATAAGAGTGCTCTCCAACAAAGAGATTGATATCCGATCTTATGTTCTGTCCTCTCTGATCCAGTGTCTCAAGACCAGTTCCTCAGAATATCCTCCTGATTCCTAGTAGCAATCATGAGCCAGGTTCAACAGTTCATTTCATTAATAATCCATCTCATCTTGAAACATGGATCATACTTTCCCACTCAAGTCATACTGAGATTTGACCCTAATTATTTGTCTAGAAGCAATAAAGGGAGATGGGAGCAGAGCTTGAGAAGGGAAGCATCACCTTATGAAACGTCCTGCTGAGGCGGGGTTTTAACGTGGTCACCGGCCGTTCTCCACAAGAAAGGGTAAGGGCCTCTTTATCTGGAGCAGAGTTTCAGAAGACTCTCTGGGTTCAAGACTCTTAAGAGCATCTACCTGAAGATTTCCTCCTATACTTCATGTCTCTTTCCCTACAAAGACCCTGATTTTCATGGAAAAGACTTACTAGCCCTGTGAACTTGGCTTCCTTTATATTTTTCCTTCTCCTAAAATCACATCTTAGGCCTGATTTTCAGCACAGTCTACCTGTAGCTGAAGGAAGTGAGGGTCACTTTGATTGCTGGTTGGAAGTCTTTAAACTTTTACACCAAATCACAAGTCGAGTGTTGACTGACACAAGCCTGTAATTTTTTTTTCCCTATAGAGTTTCATGGAAGTTAATGAACTCTGCTATTGCATGTCTTTCCAACACAAGAGCAGTGTAAGATTTTACTTCTGACTGTATTCTATCTCAATCCACCTGATGAGAGTCTTAGTAATTATGGTACTATAGCTGGCCAGGGATCGGCTCCATATTATCCACCAGTAAGGGGGTCCTTGCTACCACCTCGGTAGTCATTCAATTCAAAAGCTGGTGTCAAGCCCCAGCTTCCTAAATCACTTCTGTCCCAAGTAACTTGGGCAGGTGTTGTTTTCTACCATAAGACCCTGAAACAAGGATTTGAGTGAAAGTAGCTTATCTAGAAAGTGACCCAGGAAGCCCTTGTAGAAGAGTGAGGCAGTCAGGAAAGGAGAAAATGAAGCTCATAAGGATGAAAGCCAGTAAGGATGAAATGAAGACCATAAAGGATGAGGCAGGTGGGAAGGTCTCCCCTGTGGGAACCAAGGGCTATTAACCCCACTGGGAATGTCTAAGAGACTGCAGAGAGCATGCTTAGAACTGGTCTTCCTGAAAGAAAAAGAACCTAAGGTATTTATCCCCCAATCTCTGCTGTCATTGGTTGAGGGATGCTCTGGAGATATTAACTCACTGGCCTGCCTGCCTCATGGGTCAAGAGTTTCAGGGGCCAAAGAATGCCCTTAGGGAAAGGATCAAAAACACGAATAATAGGAAGCGGTGTGGTTGATATTTATGGAGACAATGAATGCCAAGATAATATGGGTAGGACACCCAAAAAAACATGTTACCAAGTTCCAATCTATTATCAACATCAATGAAAACTAATGCCCTTCAAAAGCAGTAGCTACCTGCAGCATACCTGCACCACAGCCATCGTGTAAAGCAAGATATCAACATGCATGTTTTAGTTGTTTCTCTGTGTGTTGGTTGGTTTGGCAGCTTTCCTGACCAGAATATATGAAAATACATTCCTCTGCTTAACCAGAAATTGTGTAGATACACTGCTTACACTCCTGGCCTACATGCCAATATGAACTGTAGGTACAGATGAGATGCATGACTCATCTCAGTTTTAATAGTATCCTTCCTTTAAGTGCGTCTCTCACATCTCTTTTTTGAAATCAAATTTTAGAAATGGGTCAAGAGAACAATGGACACCTGGTCCAAAAAAAAAACAAAGTTCAGAATACTAAGAAACTTGAAGCACTTGCAGAAATAAGGAAACAGCATCTTTTCATGTTTTATTTTTCACTTGTGAAAATATATATAATATATATTACACATACAGAAGAGTCCCACAGCTCAGGTTAGAGAAAGCTAACAGAAAGTTACATACCAGCGGAGGTCTTTTCATAAAGTTTTCAGTGAAACCAACATTCAGGGCACGGCAATTGACAATAAAAGCAACAAAAGCACAGGAAGCCTGTGTCCATGACTCTGAAGAGCTAAATCAGAGACAACTCCAGGTCTGTTGAGAATGGAGGTCATCTCTGGAGAAAGGACAGCTTCTACTTAATAGGCCTGTCAGAGCAACAGAGGATGTACTGTCGTCTGGACAAAGACTCCAGGGGCAAAGTGAAAGCCAGCGCTTAACTTGACAGCTAGTCTGTTCTTGTCCCCTTTCTCTTTCAGACCTGAGGCCCTGGCTGACCCAAAGATGCAAATAATAGGGTCAACTCTGTTTGTGCAGAATTACAGTCAGCTACAAGACAGAATGTTGTAACAGACTAAATATTTTTAAAGCTTGTAAACACTGTGCTGATGCTGTGGCGGGGGGGGGGGGAGGATATAAAAAGGAACAATTGCTATTTCTCTTGGAGGAAAGAAAGATACAGGCATAGGTCTTTGGCTTGCCCCTGCTGTATCCCCATCCTGATATTTATCTAAGATGGTAGGATTTGAGATGCAATTCATGAGATGACTGGATTCCACCCACCATATTCCAGCACAGGGGCCCACTAGGATTTGGAGCAGCTGGAGCAGCTGACAACCCTGGTCGATGTGAGATGCGGCTTCACGATGTCAGGCTGAATGGACTCCATCAGGTCACACTCATTGGCAAGTATATGTTTCACCAGGCATCTGGAGGCTTCATCGATGTTGATATTTTCCTAAGGGGAGAAAACAGCTTTTAGTATTCAGTATTCTAGAATAACGCTAGAGCAGAGATTTATACGAGACAAAGGGCAGTATTTAAATATTTCTTTCTAAACCCTATCCCATGCATCCTCTTTCTATTCCCCTCGCTCTTGTTTATTCCTTCTAAGAACTTTACACTTTAGTCTTTCATAAAAGTAAGTATATGGATTTGTTCTGTAAATATTCATTAGCACGTTTTCGATCATTCAAGCTCAACCCTGAGTTCCCTTACTATGAAAGCTTACGGTAACTTTTCGAGTTCCACAAACAACAAAACTCTCCCATTTAACAGAGCCTTAATAAAAATTCCTCTGAGGGTTTCTAAATCTAAAACAAGGTGAAGTTCTAGTTGTTTTTTTGTTTGTTTGTGATGTTGTTGTTGTTGTTACTGGTTTTTATACCAGAATTCATTCACACCCCAAAATCAGTGGCTTAAAGCAACAAAGTCATAACTGTCACTCATCCTATGTGCATCACAGGATACCTGGCTTTTCAGCCATCAGCCTAGGCCAAGAGAAGTTCTATCTCTGTGCTTGTCATGCTTGCAGAAGCAGGGAGAAAAGAACATGGTGAATCGAGCATTGGCTCTTATTGCTTCTGGAGAAAAGTGACAGGGAGACACAGCATTTATCCTCCCATTTCATTGTCCCATGAAAGTTATGTGATCACGCCTAACTTCAGAGCGGCCGGAGCATTGCAGTCCTGCCATCGGACTGGAAGGCAGAGAGCCAGAATTCATGTCTCTGGGCTTCCCTTTCCTCATCTATGTGACAGTCTTGATGATAAAGCATGTGCTGCGTGCTTAGTCGCAAATATCAAACGTGGGATATCATATCTGTTCACAGGTATGACAACTTAAATTTAGAGAGATTAAGAGACTCGTCCCAGAGCCAAGATCAGACAGCAGAAGGGTTTGAGGGCCAGCATTCACAACCAGATGTTGCTGACATCAAAGCCTGGCTCTTACCAAGTGTTATTCCTTTTCAAGTTTTCAAAATCAAGAGCAATAACAAGTTCTTACTACAATGTTAGGACCAGTGGGTACAAAATAAATCTTAGATCCTTTCTCTTTCATAAAGCAAGTTTTAAGCATTAAAAAGGGCCCTCCTGGATAAGCAATATAAGTTAGATTTGACAGTAGTATTTTTTAAACCTCCACTCCTATATTAACGTGCCAGTAAAATAGGGTTCTTTCATTTTAATGTGTAAATTGGCAAAATCTACTAATGAAGAGAGTGAAGTGTGGACAAATGAATGAAAATCCATCATCCTCATGAGAAAAACAACTAAAACTTAAGCCCAATTAGTGGCAGCATAGTAGAAAAAGACAAGATGATGCCAGTGAAATTGTGACCTTTAACACATTAGCTGGTGTCAGGACTAGGATGTGAGATTATGGAGGATGGGGCTGTCAACTAAGGAAATCATTCAGAGCCAAGGAGTGACTGTGCCTACTTTTAGATTGTACATAGGAACAGGGTAGCAGTTCATGATGACTCACAGTCATTCAATCTATATTCTTTAGATTCCTCCTAAGTACGAGGCATAAAAAGACAACAAGTAAAGTCTGTCCTTGTAAGAACTTACACTAGCAAGGTAAATAGCAGAGGTATAATAAGGTTGAAAAGGGCATCTGGGACCAGACTACTATGAGCCTTGAATGAGAACTTGGCCAGACAGAGCCACTGGGATTACTTTTCAAGTGAAGTGTCGAAAAACACAATCCAATACAAATCCATTACTAGACAAAACTATATAGACCCATGGGTGGTGGTGGTTAGTTATCAAGTCATGTCCAATTCTTGCAGCCCTATTAACTGTAGAAATCTGGGCTTCTGTGTCCATGGAATTCTCCAGGCAAGAATAACAAAGTGGGTTGCCATTTCCTTCTCCAGAGTATCTTCCCGACCAAGAGATCGAACCCGAGTCTCCTGAATTGACAGGTGGATTCTTTACCACTAAGCGAACAGGGAAGCCCTGGCCCCTCAGTGCTCTTTAATTCCTTAATTTATCAGCGAGCACTTGGAAAATACTTATTATGTGTACCATGGTTGCCATGGCACATCTATTGCAGATTGGAACCTATCAGAGGAAGCCAGGAAGCACTATACTGACCACATGCATTCTGCAAACAAGCACAGTATATAGTATTCAGAGCGCAAGCCTGAAGCCCACCTCTTATCTCAGCTCCCACTTTCTGGTGGTGTGACCTTGGGAAAACTGGTCACCGCTCCTCACCTTAGTTTCCTCATCTGTAAAGGGAATCTACTTTACAGATGATAGTAAGTTAATACATGCTAATACTTACAACATGCAAGACACTTAGAACAGAGAAGAGGATATAGCATACATTTAATAAATGTTATCTACATCTCAGCTCAGTCACTCAGTCATATCCAACTCTTTACAACCCCATGGACTGCAGCACACCAGGCTTCCCTGTCCATCACCAACTCCCAGAGCTTACTCAGACTCATGTCCATTGAGTCAGTGATGGAATTCAGTTTGGCATCAGTCCTTCCAATGAATATTCAGGACTGATTTCCTTTAGAATTGACTAGTATGATCTCTCTGCAGTCCAAGGGACTCTCAAGAGTCTTCTCCAACACCACAGTTCAAAAGCATTGATTCTTTGGCGCTCAGCTTTCTTCATAGTCCAACTCTCACATCCATACTTGACTACTGGCTTTGACGAGTCAGACCTCTGTTGGCAAAGTAATGTCTCTGCTTTTTAATATGCTGTCTAAGTTGGTCATAGCTTTCCTTCTAAGAAGCAGTTCAGTTCAGTTGCTCAGTCGTGTCTGACTCTTTGTGATGCCATGGGCTGCAGGATGCCAGGATTCCCTGTCCATCACCAACTCCCAGAGCCTACTCAAACTCATGTCCATCAGGTCAGTGATGCCATCCAAACATCTCATTCTCTGTCGCCCCCTTCTCTTCCTGACTTCAATTTTTCTCAGCATCAGTGTCTTTTCCAATGAGTCGGTTCTTCACATCAGGTGGCCAAAGTATTGGAGCTTTAGCTTCAGCATCTGTCCTTCCAATGAATATTCAGGACTGATTTCATTTAGGATTGACTGGTTGGATCTCCTTGCAGTCCAAGGGACTCTCAAGAGTCTTCTCCAACACCACAGTTCAAAAGGATCAATTCTTCGGCACCCAGCTTTCTTTATAGTCCAAATCTCACATCCATACATGACTACTGGAAAAACCATAGCTTTGAGTAGATGGACCTTTGTTGGCAAAGTAATGTTTCTGCTTTTCAATATGTTATCTTGGTTAGTTGTAACTTTTCTTCCAAGGAGCAAACATCTTTTAAATTCATGGCTGCAGTCACCATCTGCAATGATTGTGGTAACAAAAAAAGATAAAGTCTTTCACTGTTTCCATTGTTTCCCCATCTATTTGCCATGAAGTGATGGGACCAAATGCCATCATCTTAGTTGTCTGAATGTTGAGTTTTAAACCAACTTTTTCACTGTCCTCTTTCACTTTCATTAAGAGGCTCTTTAGTTCCTCTTGACTTTCTGCCATAAGGGTGATGTCATCTGCATATCTGAGGACTGATATTTCTCCCAGAAATCTTGATTCCAGCTTGTGCTTCATCCAGCCCAGCATTTCTCATGATGTACTCTGCATATAAGTTAAACAGGCAGGGTGACAATATACAGTCTTGACATACTCCTTTCCCAATGTGGAACTAGTCTGTTGTTCCACGTCTAGTTCTAACTATTGCTTCTTGACCTGCATACAAATTTCTCAGGAGGCAGATAAGTTGGTCTGATAGTCCCATCTCTTGAAGAATTTTCCACAGTTTGTTGTGGTCCACACAGTCAAAGGCTTTGGCATAATTGATAAAGCAGAAGTAGATATTTTTCTGGAATTCTCTTGCTTTTTTGATGATCCAGTGGATGTTGGCAATTTGATCTCTGGTTCCTCTGCCTTTTCTAAAACCAGCTTGAACATCTGGAAGTTCAGGGTTCCCATACTGTTGAAGCCTGGCTTGGAGACTTTTGAGCATTACTTTGCTAACATGTGAGATGAGTTCAATTGTGTGGTAGTTTGAACATTCTTTGGCATTGCCCTTCTCTGGGATTGGAATGAAAACTGACCTTTTTCACTCCTGTGGCCACTGCTGAGTTTTCAAAATTTGCTGGCATATTGAGTGCAGCACTTTCACAGCATCAACTTTTAGGATTTGAAATAGTTCAACTGGAATTCCATCACCTCCACTGGCTTTATTTGTAGTGATGCTTCCTAAGGCCCACTTGACTTCTCTTTGCAGTATGTCTGGCTTTAGGTGGGTGATCACACCATTGTGGTTATCTGGGTCATGGAGATCTTTTTTGTATAGTTCTGTGTATTCTTGCCACCTCCTCATAATATCTTCTGCTTCTGTTAGGTCCATCCCATTTCTGTCCTTTATTGAGCCCATCTTTGTATGAAATGCTCCCATGGTATCTCGGATTTTTTGATGAGATCTCTAGTCTTCCCTGTTCTATTGTTTACCTCTATTTCTTGGCATTGATCACTGAGGAAGGCTTCCTTATTTCTCCTTGCTATTCTTTGGAACTCTGCATTCAAATGGGTGAAAGTAAAATTGCTCAGTCATGTCCAACTCTTTGCAACCCCATAAACTATACAGTCCATGGAATACTGGATAGGCCAGGATACTGGAGTGGGTAGTCTTTCCCTTCTCCAGGGGATCTTCCCAACCCAGGGATCGAACCCAGGTCTCCCACATTGCAGGCAAATTCACAAGGGTATATCTTTCCTTTTCTCCTTTGCCTTTAGCTTCTCTTCTTTTCTCAGCTATTTATCTACATATTCACCTCATTTAATCATCAGGAGAGCATGATAATGTGTATGTTCTATTCCTTTACTTTGTAGCTGAGGAAACTGTGATTAAGAAGGGGTAGGTGGCTGGCCCAGAGCCAGATGTCAGTCTAAGGAGAATAGTAAAGACTAATAT